TGATCTTGGTTTTTTGAGTGAGACTAAGAAGTTTCTCTCTAGTAACTTTGAAATAAAAGATATGGGTAAGGCAACCTATGTAATCGGAACAGAAATATTTCGTGATAGATCACATGGACTGTTAGGCTTGTCTTAGAAAACATATACCAATAAAGTTTAAGAGAAATTTAAGATGTACAAATGCTCACCATCTCTTGTTCTAATTCAGAAAGGAGATAAATTTAGTCTCATGCAATGTTCTAGACATGACTTGGAAAGAAAATAAATGGAAGCAATTCTATATACATCACTTGGTGGGAGTTTAATATCTGCTCAAACTTGTACTAGACCAGATATTAGTTTTGCAATTGGAATGTTAGGAAGATTCCAGAGTATTCCTGGAATGCATCATTGGAAAGATGCAAAAAAAGTTTTGAGTTATCTGGAAGGTACTAAAGATCACATGCTACCTATAGGAGGTCTGATAACCTTGAGGTAATTGAATATTCAGATTCTGATTTTGATGGTTGTATGGATATAAGAAAGTCCACTTTTGGATATTTGTATCTTTTAGCTGGAAGAGCTATATCAGAGAAGAATGCAAAACAATTAGTAAAGCTAAATTTGTGACATGCTTCGAGGCTATATTTCAGACTAAATTACTACGAAATTTTATTTCAAGACTTGGAATAGTATTCTGCAACAATCTTATTGTGACAAGACTTGAAATTTTATTATCAAGCCATTGAAAATTTATTGTGACAATTCTGCAACAATCTTATTCTCTAAAAATGGCAAGTATTCTAAAGGAGCTAAGCATATAGAGTTAAAATACTTTGTTGTTAAAGAAGAGGTTCAGAAACATAGAGTGTCGATAGAGCATGTTAGCACCGATCTTATGATAATTGATCCCTTGACAAAAGGAGTATCGCCCAAAACATTTACTTGATATGTGTATAGTATGGGTTTTATGCCCTAGCGAATGTTAAAATTATTGTTATGTATTGGTCATTGTCACTTTGAGCTCATTAATATACATATTTGTGAGATTCTCCTGTTCTAAAATTTATGTATGTATGCATGTATGAATGATATTATTGAAAAACAAAATTTGTATGTAATGAAGACTTTATTGTTGGACATTAAATGTACTTCTCATTAAAGTGTCATGTTAAGGAGAAAAGTTAATAAAATAGTACATAGAAGGGACTATGTCGATTTGCTGATGTACAACCGCCATGACTCTTATTAGTTTTGTCCTTAGCAATGACATATGATGTAGCCAATATGTATGAAATCTTTTAGGCAAGATTATGCATATTATGATTGATATTTTGTTAAATTATGAAATGACATGTTACATGAGTCAAGTGGGAGAATGTAAGAAATGTCTCATGTGTCTATGATAAATGCATATGATTTAATAATTAATGGAGGGGCGTAACGATAATTGGAAATTGACTTTTGGGAAAAGGTGTCTTGATTGCTTGATAGGAGTAGTCATATCCATAGGATGTGAAGAGTCACGTCTTTTGGATACATAATTTATATACAGGATAGGAACATGTTCATTCTCTAACCATTAGAGACACCTCAAATTTTCTATCAAAAAGAGAAAACCTATGTAGAAGGGTAAATAGATTGATAAAAGTTTCTATTATTGTTTTGCAAGTCACACATTGTTGAGCATCAGTTTTGTATCATGGAAAAAAGTAACTGCATATTCACACAAACTTGTAGCAACGTGAAAATTATGAATTCTTACTATTCATTGTTCGTGTTCTTGTTTTATGATTGTTGAACATGAATTATAAAATAACTTACGCAATCTGCATCAGCAAAGGTCTTGAGCTGCAAATTAGAGTTAGAAGAAAATAGTAAGGGAAGACTTCAAGTATTTAAGAAGATGAGTTTATAAGTTGTTCAAGGAGCAGCCATGAAGTGGCTGAGTTTATAAGCTGCGTAGCATATGTCTATCTTCAAAATAGTCAAATCCGAGTTTATTCACTTCGTAGTCACAATCTACCAACCAATTTTCGATACTCATAAATGTTGGTAATGAATCTCTATTGTTGGCACTTAATTTTAGATTTGCCGACTGGGGTTATTTGGCTTGGAACATCGTGGTACACTTTTTTTTTTTTTACTTATTTAATTAATTACTTTTTAACTCGTATTGAATAAATCCAAATTAATTCGCATTGTATAAAATATAAAATATATAAATATTTATTTTAAATTAATATTCAACTAAGAATTAATTGTGATAATATCATATAGATAAATTAATTCGTTACGCACCAGACAAAACTTTTGGCTTGTGCCAAACATCAATTCTTGAAAAAAAATTCAGCCAGTGTCAGCTATGGAGAAAGCCATGGATAAAGTTGTTATTTACATAGTTCATTGTTATTTCTATAGTTTTATAAATATAAAAGCAATCATTTTTTAAAATCAACCAATGTCAAAGCACTTGCTAGTTCTAAAATGACTCTGCCAACGACGTTACGGGTTGACCTATGTCATGCTGTGCGAAATCGAATTAGATCAACGCATGCCAAAATTATTTGTTTATTTAATTTTATTAATCCACCATACATGTTTATAAAGCTATTGAGCAATTTAAAGTTTAAGCATTAAATAATAAAAAAATGCTCAGCTAAAAAGTTTACATTAAGTACTAGACTTCGATATTCAAACATTAATAATTAGGCAAATCTGAATCAAATTACCCAATGATAAACTTCATTGGATATAAAGATAAGTAACACTTGTTAACCAAAAAAGATAAGTAACACTAACATGGTCAAAAACTAAAGCAAAGAACAACAAAGTTTTACAAAACTCAATAGCGATATTAACCAAAGCGGGTTGGTTCAAGTCCTTATTAATGTAAAAATTTCTATTTGGAAGACTTAATCCCACTATGATATGAATGTCCTTGACTCAAATAGAATTATCTCCCATAAATGATATAAGTGGTTTATATAAAAAAAATGTATATATTAGCGACCTTAATATTGTTATGGGCCTATATGAGATACTTGTTACAAAATGGATGACCTTTTGTATTCTAAAATGGTAATTCAAATTCTGAAAATCGTTGGAATTTAAGCCTAATTTATGATTATAACTGTTGACATGTATCCCCCAATTTATTATTGTTTAATACTAGTTTGTAATCCTCTATATATATATATATATATATATATATATATATATATATATATATATGGGGAGGGTTCTTTTGACTCCAGAGTAAGATTTTTAAGTCTTACTCTCCATCTCAAGTCGTTGATAGACGAAAATCAATGGTTGTCATTCATAGTGTAATTAATAATTAATTAATTAATATAACTTCTTAAACTATAACCGTTGGATGGACGGAAATCAACGGCTATGATATGGAGTAAGATTTATAAGTCTTACTCTGGAGTCAATGATCTCTCTCATATATATATATACGGGTATAATCATGCTAATGAGATTAGACATTCTTCTGAACACACTCTCTCATCTTCCCTTGATTTACTCTTATATCTTTCTCTATGATTTTACTTGCTTTCTCTTGTACGAATTTCCTTTTCTTGAGACCCTTTTTCATATCACGTTATCAGCACGACTAGCTCCCTACGAAAAAAAAAAAAAATCAAGGGTTTTTTAGCAAGGTTTTAACAAGCATGAATATCATTACAATGATGTCCATGTGAAAGTGTTATAAATGGACATTATGGAAAATTGTAGTTGTTACTCCACTTCCTTAGCTCCATCAGTAGCTATATGGCTTGACTGAGGGAAAGTTATATGCACTGTATTCTTTTTCCTTTTACCAAGTTTTTATCTCACTAGTTTTTTTTTTTTGGAAAGATTTTTAATGAGTTAGTCTAAGTCTATGTTGCACCGACACCGATACGGGACACGATTTACGATACGATACGACACTCCGACATGTTAATTCTAAAAAATATTAAATTTTGATACGTTAGGACACGTTTGATACTATATAATATTTTTAATTTATGTAGTGTATATTATATTTAATATTCAATAATTTAATAAAAAAAATAAAGCTACACTTATTAATCAATTTTGTAAAGAAACATAAGATATCCCAAATGTTTATATTAAACTCAATAAAAAAGTAATCGTAATTCGACAAATCTAATAGTTGGAATTCAAAATGCAACACAACGTAACCTTTGAACTCTTTTTGAGTCTTTGCAACGAGTATTGGAGTGTCGGAGAGTCGGTGAATGTCTACAGTGTCGGACACGACACGTCAGTGTCGGTGCTTCATAGGTCTAAGTTAGCATATAACAAAAAAAAATTGTATATTAATTACGAATATTGTACTCTTTTTTCTTCGCTAAGATTTTATCACTGAGTTTTTCTTACCAATGTTTTAACGAGGCATATTCGTAGTACATCATCGTCCGAGGGGAGTGTTACAAAATGGATATGCCTTTTTGTATTCTGAAACGATAATTCAAATTCTAAAAACTGCTGGAATTTAATCTCCAATTTATGATTATAACTATTGACATTTATTTTCCAGTTTATGATTGTTTAATACTAGTTTAATTACCATGTATTGTTGTAACCTTATATATATAAGTATCATTATGCTAATAAGATTAGACATTTTTCTCATTTTCCCTTGACTTACTCCATATCTTTCTCTTGTACGAATTTTCTTTTTTTGAGACATTTTCTTTTCTTTAAACTTTTTTTTTATAACAATACTCATATTTTAAAAGACTCAAAAGAAGACAGAAAAAAGAGGAAACTAACGAAATAAAAAAAAAAAAAAATCCTTGATTGACACTAATCACGGTAACATTGGGGCCAAAAATGCTATTAAAAGTCGAAAATTTTATTACTAACGGATAAACTTTATAAATAAAAATAACTACACTTTCTCTCGTATACGATGCAGAGACATACCTATTTGGCTCACTTATTCTGTACATAGTGATATGCACATGTTAACGTAATTGAAGTCACATGACTATCCCACTGTTGTCAACTAAAAAATACACCAAACAAATCCTCAAGCAATCTCCAATCTCCTCGTGTTCGTTACTTGTCTAATCCGCCAGCAGAACCCAGTTCACGCGCCACCGTCCTCCGCCGCACACTAAATCTGCCACCGCGGCAAGAAGAAGCGCGTGGATGCCAGAAAAAACAAAACAAAAAACATGAACCGTTAGCCCCTGAAAACACTTTCCAAATATAGGAAGCTCCTCTAACGTCTCTTTGCCTTTGGATCAGGCACACCACACTCACCCACACACAGAAACAAAGCCACTTAAAATCACAAACCCAAAAAAAAAAGAAAAAAAGAAAAAAAATTTCCCTCTGTCTCTTTCTTCTTACCATTTTGCTTCATTCATTTATTTATTCTTTCTTTTTTATTCTTCTATATTTCTCTCTATGTCTCGTGCACCGAACTACGAGTTTCAGGAATGGTGGAACAAGCAGAGAGAAAACAACAACCTCGACCTCTTCGAGGAAAAATCCGACCAGGTTGACTCCTCATTCGTCTCCGTCGATGTCGGCGGCAGGCGCAGCGGCGTCAATTCGGATCCGTCGGTTGAGAAGGAGCGTGGCCGGAGCGCGAGGCAGCTCCGGTGGGTGTGCTTGCTTAGGTTCCAGCAAATTGCCGCATCGCTTGCTTGGATATCAAACGGTTTCTTGTTCTTGGTACGCACCGCGAATCGCCGGATCGCCTCGCCGGATTCGCGGCGAGCCGATTCGGGGACATCGCGGCTGTACCGGGTGATCAGGGTTTTCCTGATTGTGGTGATTGTTTTGTTAGGGTTTGAGCTTGTTGCTTACTTCAAGGGATGGCATTTTAGCCCTCCAGCGGCAGCAACCGCCGCCGAGATGCTGGGGATGGTGGCGGTGGTTTACGCGCGGTGGCTCGAGATTCGGGTGAATTATTTGGCACCACCGTTGCAGAGTTTGACCAATATGTGCATTTTGTTGTTCATTGTGCAATCAGTTGATAGGATAGTTTTGATCTTGGGGTGTTTCTGGATCAAGTTCAGGAAACTCAAGCCTGTGGCTTCTGTGGATTATGGGAAAAATGCTGAGGAGAGTGTGGAGGATTATCCTATGGTGTTGATTCAGATTCCTATGTGCAATGAGAGGGAGGTAAGAAGATGTAGGTTCTGTAGTCCTTTCTGAAAATGGAAATTTTGTCCAGTTTTTTTGTAGTATATGGTGTGCTCTAGTTATGTTTAAATGCTGATTTGATTGTTTTCTTTATTTGTTTGTGATCTGTGCTTTTATTCCATCACATTTTATAGGCACAAAATTTACTGTTTTCTATAAATCTGAGATATTTTTTGAATGAAGGAAATTTATGTTTACACTGATAGTTTGTTAATAGACCCAATATAGGCAAATATTCTAATAAGCTGTTTCTATTATAAGTTAGAATAAGATAATCCAAAATAAAATAACATCCCTGAATAACAAAAGACAGTAAATAGTTCCAAATTAAAAGCTCTAATTGTGAAATTAAAAACCCTAACTTAAATAACAAAACTAATAGCCCACTCTACATCTCCTGTCATGTTCATGAAATTTGATGATGGACATATTTCTAAGGGTAAAATATTTCTAAATGAGCTGGGTATGTGCAGAATTATTTTTGTCATTTTGTGGCTTGAATGTCTGGTGCTTTGAGTCATACAGAGGTATTACATGGGCTGTGTGTGGCTGATTGAAGTTAGAGCTTTGTAACTTGTAGATGGAAAAAGACAAGGGTGTGTATCTTGGAGCTTAGAACTATGACAGAATGGAAGTTTGCTGTGACATTGTGAGTGAGATCGGGTTAGTTGTTGGGTTTCATTGATTTTAAAGTGGGAATGGCAGAGGATTGTTGTGTGTATGTGATTGTTTTAGGGGTAGAGATTTGTCTGTGTTCTCATCAGATGCTGCCTACTCAAATCACAATTGACCATACAACCACTTGCTCCTAAAATTCCATACAACGACAATATTAGATTCATTCTGCTCCTAATGCTCAACTTGGAGAAGCAATTACAGTGGCAAGCTTATGGAAGCAACTAGTATTCAGCTACTTAGACCTAAACAAAAAAAGATGAAAGAAAAAACAATAGATTTGGAAAACCTTTATCCACTTAGTAAGAATACTCAACCTATGCTTAGATACAAAGTATAAAAATGTATTTATAGATAGAGAATAAATGTATAAGTGAAAAAAAAACCTTTATATCAATGATAATTAGATATTAGGAGAGGTATATTTTTGCAACTCACATCCTACAAAATCAATAGTTTCCTCCCTTTCTTTTCATATCATCTAACTTTCCTCCTCTATTCTTGTCTCTCGTCAAAACTCATAAAATAAGTATCATTGTGGTTAAAAGGAGGAGGTGCATCCTTCTCATCACCAATGTTACTATCTGTCTGTTCCAATCAGCACCGTCCATCCTTCCTAGAACATTCACCATCAAATGCATTTTTATTTATGAGCTGAGCAATTAAGAATCTGATAACTTAATTTTTTATCACCCTACTCTCCTTTTTGTTATCAATACTTAATTTTTGTCTTGTTGCCCCATAGGTTTACCAGCAATCCATTGCAGCAGTTTGTATCCAGGATTGGCCAAAGGAGAGAATGCTTGTACAGGTTCTTGATGATTCTGATGAAGTAGATACCCAACAGCTCATCAAGGCAGAAGTGCATAAATGGCAACAAAGGGGTGTTCGGATAATATATAGACATCGGCTTATACGTACAGGTTACAAGGCTGGGAATCTTAAATCAGCAATGAGCTGTGATTATGTTAAGGATTATGAGTTTGTGGCAATATTTGATGCTGATTTTCAGCCAACGCCAGATTTCTTAAAGAAGACAATACCTTATTTCAAGGTAATTTAAGTTAAAAATACTGTTGACTTGAGTAAATAACAGCAGATATTTGAGTGTAAAAGAGAAATTTTATAGATATTTGTTATTTTTTCTTTATGTCTTAGATTGAAACATCCTTAAAGCTAGTTTAGTTGCAGAATCTCGAGTTGCTTTGGCTAAAAGTTGTAATTTAGAAATAGTATACACAGTTTCCCCCATATACTTGAGATTGGTACACTTTTGAATCTCAAGCATACGATTTAACATTATCTGGAAGGGTCTGATTGCTGTTGTAAAATCAGATAATCATTCAGAGGGAAGTGTGATAAGTTGTACATATGCTCGGCCACCTAAAATTTTGTACTATTGGTGTTTATTTTTATTTGTACCAATTTTCATAACTGGTCTTCAAGTTTCATTATTGACTCATGACTAGAAAAAATGAAAGAAAATTTCCAATATTTCTGGGAATCGAGTTCACATGTTATGGCACTAGAGTTATTGGCCTAATTCATCCAATTTGTCATAGAGTACAACTTACAGTCTTGATAGCGGAATATCTCCTATTAATATCATTGATACTTCTAGAAAGTTAAATACTTTAAATTTGATAATAGTTTTTCTTTTGTGATTCTTCAAATATCTTAAGCATCTCCATTTTGAAAACCTCCAGTTCCTGACTAGTTTGAATGATTAATTCTGCTCCTGCAAGATGTCATCATTCACATCAATGCTGCAACTGTCTTTACTATTCTCAAGTCCATCAATATGAGCTGTAAAAGTATTTGATGACTTCTATTAGAGTGACATAAACAAATCATTTCAAGATATAAAGAAGATTTTCATATCAAAGAAGCTTTCAATAGTCGAAACAAGTAGTAAAAAAATGCTTGTTTATTAATAGGTCATTTTAAATGAAAATTATTTTTGGGTCCTGTATTAAGCATCTGTCTAACCACTGTTTTTTTTTTTTTTTTTTTGTTCTCCTGTTTTGCTCTAACTAAAGGGAAAGGATGATTTGGCGTTAGTCCAGACAAGATGGGCATTTGTAAACAAGGATGAGAACTTGCTTACAAGATTGCAGAACATTAATTTATCTTTCCACTTTGAGGTTGAACAGCAGGTGAATGGTGTCTTCATTAACTTCTTTGGCTTTAATGGAACCGCTGGTGTCTGGAGAATAAGGGCCCTTGAAGAGAGTGGTGGTTGGTTGGAGCGAACAACTGTTGAGGACATGGATATTGCTGTTCGTGCCCATCTCTGTGGATGGAAGTTTATATTTCTCAATGATGTTAAGGTGCACTGTATTTCAATTTTTGGGGCCTAATCAGAAATGTTTTGGAGTTTTATATGTCTATTATGCTTCTTGCAGTGCCTTTGCGAACTTCCAGAGACCTATGAGGCATATAAGAAACAGCAACACCGCTGGCATTCTGGTCCAATGCAGTTGTTTCGTCTATGTTTTGTTGATGTACTTCGTTCAAAGGTATTGAATTCTGTGCCAGTTTCTTTTTAGAGTACTTGAATTCTTTTAAATCCAGGAAACTATTATTCTGTTATTATTATTATTATTGTTATCCTCAGAATATAAATAAAGTGATAGAACTAAAGGAACAGTAACTTTACTGCAAATTCTTCTCTCTACCCCTCCCCCTCTGTATAAACGTTTCCCCCCCTCTATCTCAATCATACCAGAATAATACCCTGCATCATTTTCCACCTGTTCTTTCTGTTATGTTCCCCATTCTCTGCACTAACTGAATTTCCCACTTTCATTGATTACAATTTCTCCATTTCCTTCCCCTTATGCCCTCATTGTTGCTATTAAGGACAACTTTCTTTGATGCAGACCCCATGCATTTCCTTTTATTTTCATATACGTGGGTCAGCAGCCCATCAACCCCCACCCCTAAAATGAGTGCCACCTTGTCCTCAAGGTGAAAATGAGGAAGTAGCCTCTTAATATCTGCAAGAGCTCCCAAGTATTGTCATGGTCACGTCTGGCCAATAACTTCAAAATAGGCAAAGAGAGACGCCATCCCTGTTGGAAACCGCAGCACCTGAAAAACAATGTAAGCACAACACTTCTTGAACAAAATCAGCAGCTATTTCTAGTGCAGAAAAAGGATTACTTAACGGAATGAAATGCGCTAAATTATTTGATCGGCAATAAACAAAATTGAGTTCTTCACCTTTGACCTCGGAAATCCCTGTATGAAATTCATGGTGACTTCTTCCACTTGAGCTGGAATGTGTAAGGGTTGAAGCAGTTCTCCAGGAGTTAGAGCCTGGTATTTATTCTTTTGACACACCTCACATTTAGCTACAAACTGTTCAATGTCACATCTTTCCCCATTCCAATAGAAAGCAGAGGCAATTTGTGTGTGCTTGTTGCGCCTGAATGCCCTCCCCATAGAGAAACATGAAAGTCAGCTAAGGTGACTGGAATTTTGGCAGATGTCGGAGATAAGACCAGCCTGTCCTTATAAATGGCATCCCTTAGAAATACGGCAGTGTGGATGAGAAGATGGGTTCTGCACTAGTTCTTGGAAAATCTGGTGTAACTGGCCATCCTCCAAACACTACTCAGACACTTCCTCCAAATCTGGGTTAGTTATCACAGAAATACCTTGTTCTCCAGCATCCGAGATAAAGTATATGCAGCTCCATTGTCTTTCCCTGGTTTGTATTGAATCTCAAAGTCAAACCCAGCAACTTGGCAACCCATTTCTACTGTTCACCAACTAGTTCTTGCTATTCTAACAAAAACTTTAGGCTTTTCAGATCTGTTTTGATGATTAAGTGGCTGCCTAATAAATTTTGTAGCCATTTCCGACCTGGAAGTACGATTGTCATCCCTCTCATAAACTGTCTTGCTTTTAGACCTATTTGACAAAACCTGACTAATGAACACCAAAGGTCTTGCCCTGCTTCATCAAGACTGATCTGATGCCCAGACCCAATTGCAAACTTTGGGCATGGCCAAAGTGGGCAGTTGCCCCATGGCTGTCTCTTCAATTGCCGGAGAGAATCCTGGGTTTGCTGACCCTGAGTAAAAATGTTTTTCATCAATAACTAACCAGTCATGAAGGCTCCCTTAAACACTGTCTGCGTGTTGAATTGGTGCAGATATCAACTTGAACTGCCTCCAATATTCTTCCTCCGGGTCGATTTTCAATAAACTCATCAATACTTAATATGGATTCTCGGAGAAAGAGTTTTGGAATCGTCCCAACAACTTGCCTTTGAATGTGTGACATGACATGTGTTGTGTGCTCCTCCCACTGATGGAACCAATTTACTGCCTTCCCCTCGAAGCAGATAGCTACTTTCACCACCTTATCTTCATCCGGAATCTAATTGATCTCAAAATACCTCTCAGTGTGATAGATCCAGCCATACGGGTCCTCACCAGTGAAAATAAGGCACCTCCAGTCTGCTCATTCTATCCTCCCTTTGACCCAATTCTCTTATCGTGTTCACCTGCTCTCTATTACTCCTGATTCCTTCATCAATACTCCCATTTTGTCTCTCCCTGCTCAAGCAAGCCAATCCAGTCCTCGATTCATGCATCATATCCACTTTCAACTTCCCATGTGTTTCTTACCATTCTTGGCTGATCTCGTCCATTCTGCATTCCAAAGCCTTAACTCTCCCTTCCATCCTAGTTGGTATCATTTCAGCTCCCAAGATCAGAAACTCTGATAACAAGTTGATAGAAACTGAAGAAACAGTAGTTTTATTTATCTAACAATGGATTCCAATCCTCTAACAGAAGGAATTACAACCTTAATAGAAAATGAAAGCAAAGAGATCAAAACAAGTAAAATCTAGTGCTGCAGTTAGCAATCCTGCGGCCACCCCTAACCTTGCTCCAAATTCTTCTCTACCCCTCTCTCCTTAACCCTCTCCGTATAAACACTTCTCCCCGCTGCATCAATCACACCAGAATCATTATCCTCTACCACACCAGAATCATACTCTTATTTATCATTTTCCACCTGTACTTTCTGTAATGTTCGCCATTCTCTGCGCTAACCGAATTCCACACTGTTTCATTCAATGCAATTCCTCTGTTTCCTGCATTGCTCCTTATTTCCTCATTGTTGCTATTATGCCCCACTTTCTTCGGACCACACCCCATGCATTTCCTTCTTTCATGTATGTGGGTAAGCAGCCCATCATAAAGTTTTATCCCTTTAAGTATTTGGAAGTCACAACTTGATTTCCAAGCTTTGTCTTTTAATAAGAAATCTAATTCTTGGTAATGAAAATTGAATAGTTGTTGCATAAATTCACTTAATAAGATGCACGGGTACATCATTGAGTTACCTGTTGTGATTAGGACTAGCATAGTTTAAGACATCCTACATAGACATACATCCACATCAGAGGAAAAGTGTCAATTTGTCGGTGTCTAATATCAAATTTATGCTACTAAGCTGCATAAATATTTTCTGCTTATTTGCTTCAATGATAATATAATTGTAAGTAGTTTACTTACTAGTAAGCTGAAGGAGTAAATAGTACTTGTTACTGTACCCAAAGTAGATACATGATTTATTGATCTTTGTACTCATTTATGCATTAAAGAGGCCGAGCTTGGAGCGGTGGTAAAAACTGCTCCTTTATGATTGAAAGGTCACGGGTTCAAATCCGGGAAAAAGTCTCTTTGCCAATATGTAAAGGTATGGTTGCGTAAAAGGATTGCCTTTACCGCTACCTTCGCTATTCGGGGTTTAATGGGGGGTGGTTGGGTATTCATTTATGCATTATTTGCATGGAGGAGATAAATTTACTTTTTTACTTTGACTGTGATGTTCAACATGTTATCAAATTTGACATTCTTGTTTGTGTATCACCTCCACATGTTGCTCAATATGGGCCTCTTGGCAAGACTGGCCGAGTATCATATACATCTTACTCAGTGTTAGACAATATTACACGTAGTATGTTTTTCATCTTCCTTGAGAAGACATGTCAGGAGTTAATTGTTAAAACCCAACAACTGTGCACTCCAAGAATGTGAAAGGCAAGTCCTTGCTTGATGCCTTGGTCTGAGTAGTGCCCATGGTACATTTTAGTCAGACAGCATCTTGTCTGCCTCGAGGCCAGAGAGAGCTCCTAATTGCTTCATTAATGTATTAAGTTCCTCCAGCCCCAGTCTTTCATGTCCTCTCTTTTTTTAAAATATTTAACTATCTACTGCTGATGCAATGGCATTTGAAGGTATTTCTTGCAAAATCATTAGATACTTCTCTCATAAAGCTATAAATTGTCTACCCATAACTCATTACCTTTCGGTCAGGCCTTTAACATGGAATTTAAAATCAAATTGGATCTTGGGTCTAATTAAGCATTTTCTTGTGCCTGAACGGCTGAACCAACGTTACTAAAGCCTCTACTATTTGACCATGTGAAAATGCAAAAGGGTAGTGGAATAATGCAGTGCAGGGAGTGAACTTTGTTTATCTCACCATTATTTTCTTTGATGATAAAAACGAGCTACCTGCCTGTCATCATTTTCTGAAGATGTTTGCTTAATGACGTAATTGTTAACTACACTACTCCATTGAAGATTAACTTACTTAACCATTCATTTGTTATCGTTATCTCATCTCATCTTTTTTAGAATATAGCCTCAAAAATTTTGCAAAAAAAAAAAAATCGGGGAAGGGGAAGGCAGCTGGGCCGGTGCATAAAGTGAATTATGTCAATCAATTTGCTTCCCTGATCATACCATCATGTTCAAAGCCTCCTATGGTCTATGTTCTCTCTCAGACATACATTAGAAAATGGTACTTAAATTTGTATAAAAATTTTGGCTTTATGAAATACTCATATATACTACAGATACGTTAAAACAATTATTCGTACAATTATATGTCCACATCTCACGCTGTATGTAATGCTAATTGGTTTATTTCATCAATTTTATTAAAATAATTTGACTTCTAGAAGGATCTCCTTTATCCTGATGTTAATTCCATTTGTACCAGGTTAGTTGGGGAAAGAAGGCCAATTTGATATTTCTTTTCTTCCTCCTGAGGAAGCTTATCCTGCCATTTTATTCATTCACCCTCTTCTGCATCATTCTTCCATTGACCATGTTCCTTCCAGAAGCTGAGCTCCCAGCTTGGGTTGTTTGTTACATTCCTGGAATCATGTCTATCCTAAGTATTCTTCCAGCTCCGCGGTCATTTCCATTTATAGTTCCTTACCTTCTATTTGAGAACACTATGTCAGTAACTAAATTTAATGCCATGATATCTGGATTATTTCGCTTCGGAAGTTCTTATGAGTGGGTGGTTACAAAAAAATTGGGAAGATCCTCAGAGACAGATTTGGTTACCTTTGAGAAAGAATCTGAACCTCTAATGCAATCTACTGGTCTTCATAGATCATCCTCAGATTCAGGCATTGAGGAACTAAGCAAGCTAGAATTGTCAAAGAAAACTGGGAAGACCAAGAAAAATCGTCTCTACAGGAAAGAACTTGCTCTGGCATTTATTTTGTTAACTGCCTCAGTTAGAAGTTTATTATCTGCCCAAGGAATTCATTTCTACTTCCTATTGTTTCAAGGGATAAGCTTTCTAGTTGTTGGTCTTGATTTGATTGGGGAGCAAGTTAGTTGAGCTCCAGATTCGGATTTTGAGTGGATACAAAACCTCAGATCCTCATTGATTCGAGATAAAGGCGGCCAAACTTAACCTATCCCTGAACACATTGATTTGAGCCTAAGATGTTCAGTGGTTTTTGGCTCCCAATTAATGCAAATCAGTGGCTGCTTGGCACCAAACTTGCAGTTCTGTTTGTTTTTTGGTGTAAAGACTTCTGCCTCATTGTTATTGCCAAGTCATATATGCCTTAAAGTTGTAAAAGTTGTTTCAGTTCAGAATGGCAAAATGTATTGACACGTGAAAAAAAAAAGGGCTTTACATTTCTGACCTATAATACCAATATACAGTTGCTTGTTGCCTGCCTGAACTGGAAAGATGGAAATTGTTAGATTATAACATTTGTTATTCTTTTTGAAAATTGACAAACTGTACAATCATATATAGTTTCATTGTATTGTTGCTTCAATTGTATTTGTTATCAGACTTAGATTTCTGGTACACTTCCCAGAAACCATGTTTTCATTGTTTCCCATTAATTTTATTGCTTTGTCTTCATCGTAGCTAATTCTGCACATTATCAAGATTGTGAAACTTGAGCCTTGCCAAATGGTTAACCTCAATATTACCTATGTGATATCGTAAAGCTTAACTATAAATTAGGAGTTTAAACGTATGGCAATAGACAGTACCAAATTTGTGCTGGTTTTACAAACTTATGTATATTTTGATAAAGCAATCACTGATGTATATTTTGATCGGCAAAGGTTAAAAATAATAGAAAAGTGGCATGGCACAGCAAAAGGGAAAACAAAGGTTAGAATTAAAAAAAAAAAAAAAAAGTTCTAAATTCAAGGGTGGTTATTGAATAAAATAAAACACTGGTGATTACTTATGCTAAAGATTCAATAAGCGCGACAATTAGTTTTCTAAAAAATGTTGGCTGTTTTGTATTTTACATAAGGAAAAATTCTGTGTGATTCAAAACGATATAAATTTAGATTCTTTTAAGAAAGAGATAGACACAAAAAGATATAGGTATCATTGAAAAAAATAAAGACAAAAATAAGTGTGAATCTCATCTCTTTATGCTTATCTCTCTCTTAAAAAGACCTAAACTTGTGTCTTTTAAAAAGACATATACTTCTCCCTTTCCATAATTAAAATCCCTTGTTTCTACATTAACATAATATTTCCTTTTGCTTCAACTGTTCAAGTAGATGAAGTCAAAGCTTCTTAAATCAGTTTCACCAATTTGGGGCATATGAAATATGTAACCTAAACAAATACAGTTATTTGTTAATGGTAACAGCTTGGCAGAAAAGTATTATATCGAATTCAATCTGTTTTCTCTTAACTTCATGGAATTCGAAACATTTTTGTGTCGAAAATGAATTACCACATATGGAGACAGAGGGGACCGGTGTTGTTGTGTCTCTGCACATGCAGATCCAAAAATTTGAGAATTTTTTTTAAAGAGTGGATGATTTAGGTCAAGTAAAAAAAAATTAGGAAGATTAAAAAAAAAAAAAAATAAGCCCAAGCCCAACCCAACCAACCCATATAATTAAAAGCTTAAAGCTTAAACTTTACCCCATTATTTTGTCTCTTCTTTTTTTGAAACATAAACCTCAATGGATATCATGATTCCTGAAATTTAATCTTCATCAAGCGGAGAAGAATTGTATGGAATTTTTCACGTTTTTTTGTGAAGCAAGAGTGGTCAACTTTAAATCAAATAGACATCGATAGAGGTTGATTTTTCATCAATTAACCCCTACAATTAATACATTTAAAATTTTCTTTAAAAAAAATCTTCAGAAACGCTGCCCCTGAACTCCCACCTTAAGTGTGCACACATAAATTTTTTTTCCTAGTTCCGCCGCTGTATGGAAATATAGAAGAGAAAATGTATATAAAGATCCTACCAAACTTCTCATATGACAAAAATCCCGTAGAGCATAGCTCTAAAATTTACGTACAACTATGATAAAATATCAATATCAACAGAGTAACGTGGACGTTTTATGATGACGATATAGTGATGATAGGAAACAATCTCGACGAAATACATAAGCTAAAGGCTGATCCAGCAAAAAAAATTGGGATCAAGAGATAGGAAACATTTGACTGAACCATCGTGGTAAATTCTAGTTTGTACTCTTCTAATCCTTATTTTCTATGTTCCAGCACCTTTATTACATTGATTCATTACTATCTTGTTTGAATTGACTACTGTTTCGGATTATTTCAATTGACTCCAAAGGTTTTTAAACACAGAAACTAGTTTCTTGAACTTCAAGATTCTTGTAAATTAATTGGTGATATTGAAAAAAAAAAAAAAAAGTATTTGTTAGGATAAGATCACCTTTGATCTTATTCTTCAACTAATGAAGACCAAATCTTTAGGAAGAGTTTGTTAATATCTTGTATCTGTATAGTTTGGTTAAGATAGTTTGTTTGTTCTCCATATAGTATTGTTACGATAGTATTAGTATTGTTACGATAGTTTGTTATCGTTTGTTTCAGTTTGTTGTCATTTGTATATATAATTGGCTATCTGCCACAAAGCAATACAACACTTATCATTCAATCCTTTCATACTTTTCTATATGGTATCAGTTTAACAGTAACGATCCAATTTCCCATGGCTGATTCAGATTCTTCCGCTGCCAATGACAACCACTGTGGTAAGCTATACCATGATGTCTCTAAATGTTACCAACTTCATGGCAAACCACCCTATGGTCGGGGTAGAGGACGTGGCAAACCCTATGACAAAAGGAACTACACAATTAGTTCTCCTGCACCACAAACCGCAGCTGCCATACCTACGTTTTCCAACCCGAATTTCGTTCCAAATCTGACTCCTGCGATTCTTCAGCAGATTGCCAACATGGTTGTCTCTCCCTCTACACCCTCTGCTAATACTACAACACTTTCTGGTAAGCACATTCCAAATTACACCTGGTTAGTGGATAGTGGTGCTTCTCAACACATGACTGGGAATCTTCAATTAATCTCGAATGTTGAATCCATTCCACCTACTTCCATAGGCTTACCAGATGGTGATCAACTCGTATCAGTTCAACGAGGAATTTTTCAGTTGACATCCGATATTATTCTTCAGGATGTGTTATATGTTCCACAATTAAAATGCAATCTTATCTCAGTTGCTCAATTACTTGCTGATACAAATTGCATTATTTCTTTTACTCACATTGGATGTGAATTGCAGGACCCCACAACGAGGATCAAGATTGGACTGGGTAGATTGCAGGCTGGTGTTTATGTGCATGACTCCTTAAATAAAAGATCTTCCCTTACTGCATGTACTGCTCAAAAACAACAGACTGCAGATATTTGGCATCGTCGCTTGGGTCATCCGTCGTTTCAGTCCTTGCATTTTCTCCCTTTTGTTACAATGAATAAACATAAGGAAATTTCTTCTTCAGTATGCGATATTTGCCTTAGAGCACAACAAACTCGCACTGTATTTCCTGTTAGCATTAATAAAACTACTTCATGTTTTGATCTTATTCATTGTGACATATGGGGTCCATATCAAACTGCTTCTTTAACTGGTGCAAGATATTTTTTAACTATTGTGGATGATTTTAGCCGAAATGTCTGGGTTTATTTAATGAAGACTAAAACTGAAATGTTCCAATACTTATCTCAGTTTCTCTTGATGGTTCGTACTCAGTTCAATGCCAATGTCAAAATAATACGATCCGACAATGGTTCAGAGTTCTGTGCTACTAATCTTCGTAAGGTTTACTCAGACATTGGGATTATACACCAAACATCATGTGTGGACACACCACAACAAAATGGACGAGTCGAACGGAAACACAGACACATTTTGAATGTAGCACGGGCACTACGCTTTCAAGCTCATCTTCCCATTGAATTTTGGGGAGAATGTGTTCTCACTGCTGTTCATCTAATCAACAGGACCCCGACACCTCTTCTTCAAGGACAGACTCCATTTGAACGCCTTTTTAATCGTACACCAAACTACGATCACATTCGTGTCTTCGGATGCCTTTGTTATGCTCATCCACGTCCCAAATCGTCAGACAAGTTTGCTGCAAGGTCAGTCCGATGCCTGTTTCTGGGATACCCTTTTGGCAAGAAAGGATGGAGGCTTTATAACCTTGATACACAGACCATATTTGTCTCTAAAGATGTGGTATTTGAAGAAACCATATTTCCCTATGAAACCCAAACAGAAACTCCTACCAACATTGAAGTTTCCCAACTGATGCAGTCTCATGTTGAAGCAGAACCAACACCGGCTGCACACGACACATCTTCTTCCACTCAATCAGTTGATTGCGAAATTGCACCACATCCTACAACTCCTGCAGATGTTGACCAACGCTCTTTACCTTTGGTTGCACACTATGAACAGTCCATACTACCAGGAACTGTTACATCAGATAATCTAGTCGACCAACATGAACAGTCTCAAATACCATCAACTACTGCATCAGAAACTTTGGGTCGTGGTCATCGTTCTCGCCATCCTCCCAAATATCTCAAGGATTATACATGCACCAATGTCATAGCACATAATCCAGCAGCCTCTTCTACCTCCTCCAGTCTATCCTCAGGTATTCCTTATCCCATTGCTAACTTTGTTTCTTGTTCTAAATTTTCTCCCGAACATCAACAGTTTCTTGCTGCCATTTCTTCTGGAGTCGAACCTAAATCATTCAAAGAAGCTGTCACAGATGAACGATGGCGTTTAGCAATGCGAAAGGAAATTGATGCACTTGAGCAAAACAAAACATGGGAGCTTACTTCTTTGCCACCTGGTAAACGTGCAATCCCTTGTAAGTGGGTCTACCGCATCAAATACAATTCAGATGGTACTGTGGAGCGATTCAAAGCACGGCTGGTAATTGCTGGTAATAATCAAATACCTGGCGAAGATTACTTTGACACATATGCTCCTGTAGCAAAGATGGTTAGTGTGAGGACACTTCTGGCAGTAGCAGTTGCCAAGAAGTGGAAATTATACCAGTTAGATGTTACAAACGCCTTCTTACACGGAGATCTTAAAGAGGAAGTTTATATGCGAGTTCCTCAAGGCTTCCAGCATCACAAACCCCATCAAGTATGCCGCTTATATAAATCACTCTATGGATTGCGACAGTCCCCCAGAAATTGGTTTGCTAAGTTGCGGTCATCTCTTGAGTCCTACGGTTTTACTCAATCTAAGGCTGATTATACTCTATTCACCTTACACAAGAATGGTCACTTCATCGCTCTTCTCATCTATGTTGATGATATTATCTTAACTGGGGATGATGCAACCACATGCAATGCTGTCAAAACTTTCCTCCACTCATGCTTCCATATCAAAGATTTGGGGATTTTAAAATATTTTCTTGGAATAGAAATGGCTCACAGTTCTTCTGGTCTCTTTCTAAGCCAACGAAAATATGCTCTCGACATATTGGAAGATGCTGGCCTCCTTGCATGCAAACCTTGTGACTTTCCTCTTGAAACAAATCATAA